TGTCTGTCTGTCTATCTATCTGTAACAGCACCCTCAGCATAAAAGGGTTAAACCGCCGTTTAGAAGATCTTCCCCTTCCAGAGACACAGGCACAGCTACTATAGACACCAATCCACCGAACCGGAAAAGCAAACCGGAACCATAGGAATGCTACATTTTCAGAATCAGCATACGCCAAATACAAGCATATGTCAAAATCATCCAAATTGGTCCAGTGGTTCAAAAGATAGATCGTAGTCCTTTGTGACCAAAGGAAGCATGGCTTTTCTGCCCAAAACAAGTTCCACAGAGTCTTCTATCCTGGAGATAATTGGGAAGTAATCCAATTATCTCCAAGGACAGAGGCAAAACTCCATTGAACACATGGCTGCAAAAGACAATAAAACACATAAAAACAAATAACTGGATACACAGCTCTGCTGCTGAAGGGGGAGACCGACTGCCTCCCCTTTAGATACACTGCTCCGCTGCTGACGGGGGAGACAGACTGTCTCCCCTTTGGCTAAACAGCCCTGTCGCTGGGGGGCAGAACTGACCGTCCCTACCCCCTGTGCTGTAAGTGCAGAGACCACGGTCCCATCTGCATGGTTGTGGGGTTTACTTCCCCCCCCGGTACGTTAAGCTGCCACTGGGGAGAGGGGGTAACAAGCTCCTCTCCCATATATACTTCCAGCCACGGGGGAGGGAGACTGACTGTCTCTGCTCCCAATACAGAATCCTGTTGCTGGGGAAAGGAGACTGGGCTCTCTATTCCCTGTAGGACACTCTGCCGCTGGGGAATGGAGACTGGGCTCCCAATTCCCAATAAATCATACTGCCGCTGGGGAATGGAGACTGGGCTCCCAATTCCCTGTAACACACGTTGCTGCTGGGGGCCAGGACCAACTATCTCTGCCCCCTGTAACTCAGCCTGCCACTGGGGAATGGAGACTGGACTCCCAATTCCCTGCTGTATCTCCCGCTGGGGAATGGAGACTGGGCTCCCAATTCCCTGCAATTCACTCTGCTGCTGGGGGCCAGGACCAACTATCTCTGCCCCCATTAACTCAGCCTGCCGCTGGGGAATGGAGACTGGGCTCCCAATTCCCTGCATATCACACTGCCGCTGGGGAATGGAGACTGGGCTCCCTATTCCCTGCAGTACCTGCCGCTGGAGTTCCTCCCAACATGCCAGCTGACCTTCTCTTTCTGCCCGGTATTGCAGATTCTTGAACACTAGGTTCCTCATGGACTGCACGTATTTCTCAGCTGGATTGGGTCCAAAGAACTTCAGCCGCAATCCCATCATATTATTGAACTCTCTCCTAGAGTAGCTGTACTTCAATGCTGGTTCCATTCTGGTGCTGTCAGGGTCGCTGTACTCAGACATGCGTTGCCCTAAATTTGTAAATCCAGGGTATGGGTTCTTATGTAGCTGTCCTTCTGGCTGAAGGAACGATCCCGCCGCTTGCCACCAATTGTAACGGCACCCTCAGCATAAAAGGGTTAAACCGCCATTTAGAAGATCTTCCCCTTCCAGAGACACAGGCACAGCTACTATAGACACCAATCCACCGAACCGGAAAAGCATATGAATGCTGTAAACAGCCGAACCGGAACCATTCGAATGCTGTAAACAGCCGAATAGGAAAAACCATACGAAAGGTTTACACTCCTAGCAGTCGAACTGGAACAGCATACCATAAATCCCCCCAAGAACGAGACAAGGCTCTGTTTTGAGGGTCAAGCAGGAACAGACAGAGCTGTGGGTTTATTGTTCTTATATACACATTAGTACCACCCACAGGGTTTTGGAACACAACCAATAAACACATACAATACACTCAGACACTCCCACACAAAATCCTCCCCTCTGCCTGTGATACAATTACCTTACACAATGGGTAATATAATTATCACAAGCAGAGAAATACAATTTTTCCACATTATTCATAACTTGAAAAGTATGCATCACATTCACATACCTACATTTTCAGAATCAGCATACTCCAAATACAAACATATGTCAAAATCATCCAAATTGGTCCAGCGGTTCAAAAGATAGATCGTAGTCCTTTGTGACCAAAGGAAGCATGGCTTTTCTGCCCAAAACCAGTTCCACAGAGTCTTCTATCCTGGAGATAATTGGGAAGTAATCCAATTATCTCCAAGGACAGAGGCAAAACTCCATTGAACACATGGCTGCAAAAGACAATAAAACACATAAAAACATATAACTGTGCAGCCATTGCACAAAACAGGTACATTCAACATATCCCCAGATAGCTCAGATCTGAGCGCACATTATTTCTGAATGGCGCTCAGAGCACACACATACAGTTCAGTTGCCATGGAGCCAAAGTCTTTCCCATAGTCTTTCATTATACGAATGGGCTCCATGGCATAGCTATCTGGGGTATCACCGCTCAAACAGGGCCAGCACCGAATGACCCGGCTTTCGTGTCTCCGCAGGGGAAAATCAAGCGTTTTACCATGGGGCCATAGTCCAGAGGCAACAGGTGAGCAACCAGGCTTCTCCAATGCAATGTGGCGAGATTGCTCTCGTCACACTATCTATCTCTGTCTCTCTCTGTATCTCTCTCTCTCTCTATCTATCTAGCTATCTATCTCTTTCTGTCTCTATCTATCTATCTATCTAAAAAAGAAAGAAAGAAAGAAAGGGGACTAAATAAGTCCTCAGTGGGAGAGTAATATGAGAGGGGAAGGGGGTCCCTACCTTTAATAATCCTAAAGGAAAACACAAATTAAAAATAGGACAGGTGGGAGAAAGGAGTTTAAATGGTAAACCATCTAGAGACAGTTACAAAAACAGGTGTCTGCTATAAGAAAGAGAGACTGCCTGGCAAATTCTAACCTAAAGGTTGAGCATCATGTGTCCTAAGTCTCATAGGTAACCAATCCAGGTGTATAGAAGTAGCTAGAACACTCTATAGGAGAAGTTAAACTACCCCAAATTCCCAAAGACAGACTCCTATCAGTAGGAAGCTATCCCTAGTTACCTCGGCACTGTGCTGCCACAAGTGACTACCCGGATCCTAATCCCTATAAGTCCTAAAAATTGCAAAAGTTTAAACAACTAAATCCATAAGTGCTACCAAAAAAGTGAGCAAAAGAAAATAATTCAATAAAATAAGCTCGACGCGCGTTTCGGCGTTTCAGCACGCCGTCGTCAGGGGGGATCCTTGTTGCTGTTGCTTCCATCCCTGGTGGTCCAGTGGAGAGTGAACTCTAGCCCCTGTGGGGCTAGAGTTCACTCTCACGAGATTTGATATCTCGGCAGAGCTACTGGCAAGAGCTCCGCCGGTCCCCTCCTGCCTCCCTCCCTGCATGTGAGTCAGTAGGGAGGGAGGCTGAGAGCAGAGATCTCCCCTGCCGGTCTCAATATACATAGGCGTGCCGCGGGGATTATCTATCTATCTATCTCTGTCTCTCTCTCTCTCTATCTCTGTCTCTCTCTCTCTCTCTCTCTCTCTCTATCTATCTCTGTCTATCTCTCTCTCTCTATCTGTCTGTCTGTCTATCTATCTATGACATCTATAGCTGGAATTGTATGGTCATGGTGGTCATAATCTGTATGTGCTCCATTTATGCTTACACCCCGGTACATTAATGTCAAATCTGTGCAAATGATGTCTGTTGTCAGCATGCACATAAGCTTCTACCCTTGCGATGCACGTAATGAGCTTCTACCCTGCTGGCCACGCTGGGAAGCAAGGGAAAGCTTTTATCTCCGCTTCCTCCCTGTCTTCTTTCAGCCCTCCCCACCATCCCAGCCTCCCTATTCTCTTTATAGTGCATTAATGTTTTTTTTTTTTTTTTTAAATCCTTCTCCTTGTCCAGCCCCTACTCCCTCACTCCCCTCCCTGACTCAAATACATGTGCTCTGAGCCAGGTAGAATGGTCCAATTGAATGCTTCTATATGAGAAGCATTTGATTGGACCACGAGACGGCATCAGTTATGTTGGATGGGGCATGAAATCAAATGTAGGGAACTTTGCCTGGTGCTGGATTCCAGGTAGTTTTATTCCTTATTTATTAAGAATATTTTTTTAATATAAGGGGTGGGCCTAGTGAATAATGCCCAATAGAGCAATACAATGCAAACAAATAGCAACTAGCTGAAAAGGGTTGTAGTAACAGTTAAACCCATTTTTGTTATGAAATACAAAAATAATGGATTTACTTGCACGTGTAACAGCATGTAAGATACCAGATGGATAAAAATAAGTAAAAAGCCTGAAGTGCAACTCCACGTAGCATGTACTTACAGGTGAAAATATTATACAAAATACTAGACATGTCTTTGTATTAATCCATAAACATCACGATTACTATGCTCTATCCCAATTTTGAAAATCTAACTTCATAAAAATTACCCCACTTCTCTAATGGATTTTTTAACTAATACGCAATTCACATCTCAACAATGTTTATTATACGAATACTTTCAACAGAATGAAAGCAAAATAGGTGATTTACAGCATTGAAGATTTATAGCAAATTGCTAACCAGATAATAACAGTCTAGATTGTCTTGAAGATGAGCTGCTTAATACATTACCATTTAAATTCAGTAAAAAAAAGGCTTTTTTTTTACCTGGGGCAACCATTCCTGCAGCCTCAAAGTTCATGAGTTGACACTTTTTCACCTCTATACCTTAGTTAAATGGACAGATGAAGACCTTAAGGGTTAGAGTCTCCAGCCATAATGGAACTCATTTTAACATCAAAGGTCAGCCATACATTCTTGACTTGCTTCCATGAGCAGAAAGAATATAAAAAAAATCCGTAGTCAGCCCACAATTGATTAAAGGCAGACATTTGGACGCAGCATTAAAACATTGAAAGCTGCAGCACACATGGATGTAGCAAATTTCTTATTATTCACATTCTAAATAAATGTGTTTGCATTGTGCGTGTGTTTGTGTGCATAGGTGTTCTATAACTAAAACAAGAATTGTTCAGTGGTATGTTAAGGGGGAAATAGAAAAAGGGGTCTGGCACACATAAGGTCGGACATATAGTAGAGATTTTGATATGACAGAAAAAAAAGAAGAGATTATAGTTTGATTGACTACGTTAATAAAAGGTTACTTGACTATGGACAAAATTGTGTTTGTGAAAAAAATACATATGCATCTCTGAATAGTAAACATACCTAAGAATATGTCTATATAGAGGTATTTATTGTAATGTGTGAAATCAAATTAATCTAAATGCAGACTGTCAATAATCTCATTAACAGACATTGGAATTTATGTTTCTAGTGAAGACAGTTGAATTGCAAGTATGTTATTTTATAAAAAAAAATTCTTTGTTCAGTGCACACATAAATTTTTTTTTTCAGATTTACAAACATATGTAATACGTTGTTTTTTTTGTTTGTAGTGTTTGGTTTTAAGTTTGTTTTTAGTAAATGCCAATTCATGAAACAAACAAAAAAAAAACACTTAAATAAGAAACATATAACTGTTATAGAAAGTTCTATGCTGATTCAGCGAGCATGCATTTAAATGCTACAGTGATTGCTCTTACTCCTCAAAATCTTGATTTTATTATTATTATTTTTTTTTTTTACAATTTTAACAGCAGAGGGCTGTACTTTCATACACTTCCACCTGCACTAACAAGGAGCAATAATTTTACATGCCACACCACAACCTCACCATGATGACATGGGAGCTGAATGACTAGGTTTTTTTTCACTTTTCTTTTTTTTTCTTTTTTTTTTTCAGTTCTGTATTATAGAGATTCTGGCAGACAGTTCCCTCCTGACACTGTGTTTACAGCACATGATACGTGATTCACTCTCTTTTTAATCTGTGTAGGGAATTAGACAGAGCAGCAACAAGGTAAGACATACTACATATATGTTTAAGAATGTATGATTAAGATAACATTTACATATTTCAGATATATTTGCCAGATCTAAAATGGGCAATATAAGATAACCACTGTATAGCTGCTATGCATTTATAATAATTATAAAATATTTTTAGACAGTTTTTGAAAGCACAGTTACAACACTGTATATATCTTATTACATACTGTCTTTGTAATACAGTCCTAGATTTTTAAGATATTTTTTTTTTCTTCAATAAAGGTTTCTCTGGGTGTGACTGATGCAGATATGTGTTTAAACAAATGCAATTTTATTTAAAAGCCACAATTTAAATGTCTTTACGAAACAATACATAGTTAAATGGAGAGTTTTATTGCACAGGTCTATCACATATCAAATAATGTATTTATGTTCTGTATTTAAAGAACACACTGTGATTTCCTTATAACATTTTCAAAATGATCAATATTTAATTTTGGACTTAAAATATGTTTTCTTTATAATGAATTTACAGAGTGCATCTGTTTTTTTTAAATTAAAATCCAGCTAAAAAAAGTTTAATTGCTATTGTTTAAATGATCACTCATCAATGTATTATGTAGTTTTTGTCAAGAGAACATTTCTGTTGCACATAGGCACTTATACAAAGAAAGAATAAAAATGGCAAATTGAATGCTTACCATACAATAATTGTGAAAATAAAGAATGAAAGACCTACCCATTATTGAACTACTTAATTTCATAATCCTACAACAACATTATTAATGAGTATTATTAGTATAAATACTTTACTACTTTCCTAAGACGTTTAGAATAGTTTTCTTTTCTGTAAATTATGACTGATGTACATGAGCTAATTATGTGTGATAGGATTGGGAATGAGGCAAATTTGATAGTGGAACTCAATTATTTAAGTATTCATTGTATCCTCTAGATAATTCAATAATGTTAATTATCAATTAAAAATACTAAATGAAAGATTATTTTAGTTTAAATAAATAAAAACATTTTTTTTTAAAAAGAAATACATTTAGAATAAATCGGAATTTGTTCCCCCCCAGATGTTCTGGGCCGGTTACTTTGGTCTAATTCTGTCAAATCTACGCAATGCACTGTTTAGTAAATACACCCTTGGGTTATAAAGAGATGCTTCAACATAAGTGAAACTTTGGGATTTATTCACTAAACCCCCGATTATACTAATATGAAATTCAAATGGTAAGATTTAGGCAAAAATAGAAGATTTACGAAAAAAATAAATCATCTTGGTTATAGTCACAGCTTGTCCATATTAGCCTATAAGTTGTCACTCATATTTCATTTTGCTACAATTTGGAGTTTAGTGAATAAGCCCCATTGGTGTTGAAAATGGCTCAGAAAACAAGAATTGTTTCTGTGATTCAAGATACATTGCAAACCCATCTATTATGTACCTTTAACATTACATGGAATTTTTATTCTAAAATGTTTCTCTATCCATAATATGCTCAGCGTGAACATTTTTTATGATCGCTTCTTGGCAGATTGAATCGTAAAAAAATCAGCTTTTTCCAGAAAAAAAGCTAAAACCGTAGTTTAAAAAAAAAAAAAGTGAAACGTCTTTTTTCTTTCCTTCTAAGTATTTAGTATGAATTACACATTGATATTGTTGGACTGCAACAGAACAGAAAGTATGAGTAATTCTGCAATTATTTAAATATCTTATATACCCAAAAGTATACTTTATACATAGCACAGAGACAGGCCAAAACTGGAAGACATCTTTTGAGTTTTATAAAGCATGACAACTTTTGGAAATGAGAATTGTAGATTCCATATTATTTGATATGTGTTGTATTAAACATTATTAAGAAAGTTAAAGTACCTTTTTGGACATGACAATAATGGAAATTTTTTGAACAACATCGTATAAATTTCCTATGTGATTTACTGTTTGCTGGTGAGTACTACTTGGGTACTCATCCAAACTACATAATTACCAAGGCAACATACTCACGAGACATGTGATACAAATGGCTTAAGCATCTTTAATAAGCTCAGCTACCTAGCTGACTCATCAGCTTCAAGCAAACTGGTTAGAAACATAGCCACAAAAAGTTAAAAGCAACAAAATATAAAGCAAAGTCTATAGCACCTTGAACCTACATGAATGTCTCTTTTTTTTCTTAACTCTTTCAAAAAATATTAATATAATTATCATCATTAGTATCTGTTGTTACTTTTGATAATTAATTAAAGGGAATGTGCTAATTCACAGGAATTCTAGTATTATATTTATTTATTCATTATATTTCACAAATATTTGTTAATGAAATCTAAAAAATAAGATTAAATGTAAAAATACACACTACTCAATACAGGAAATGGGCTACTCCATCTTAGCTCCATATCAATCATTGCTATAAAAGCTACCCTTTGCACCTGGCAGTCTGCATAGATAGAACATTGAGGGAGGAGCAAAAATAGACACAATGTTACTGTTTCTCCTCCTCCAATGCCTAGTGTGCCCTGACCGTGCCTGAATTGAACTGGATTGTGATGTAAATTGCTAAATCTTTAATGTACATTGAAAAGAAAACACAACATGTCATAATATCATATGAAGAAAGGGAAACAAATGTTATAGATAATTAAAGTTTATATTAAATTATATTTGTTCTATTTTAATAATGATGTGACCATCATTTTTTTAACTATTTTTTTTAGCAAACATACTAAGCACCCAGGTTGCACCTGTAATATTTTGGATGGAGAGATTTAGTAAGCAAGTTAGTAAGCTACAAATGAGCTGAATTGTAAAATTCAGAATTAATTCCTAAATTTTACTAAAACATGCAATTTTAGCAAATCACTTAAAGCAATCTGGATGCAAATTTGGAAATTAGTCTTTTTCATTCCGGGCAATATTCTGTTTGCTAAACAAGCCTTAAAATACTACTAAAATATTCTCGTTCAATATGGTGTTTTAGGTAGGAGGAAAGATATGGATATAGATGAGGATACAGATGAGATAGCACACATAGGACACTGCATATAAGATATGGAATAGGAGAGATTTTCAGTTCTCTCTTGGTTTATAGGGGCCCACTTTACCTTCTTTCATTGTTGATACTTCACCAACATCACATGGGTGAGATGAACTGGGGAAGCACAAGTTACGTTTGGTTGCTTACTAGAACTTAGTTTTAACATGTAGCCCTATCACACATGCCAGTGGATGGAAGGACAAGGAGGTCGGAAGCTGCTTCATTTATTAGGCTTCACACCACCACCCACTGTTTCCATACAGGATACTTCCTGGTTAGTATAAGGCCAGAGGATAATGCAACCAGGTGTTTATTCAGATAATTAAATGTGTTACATTACACCAGCCAATACTCATGCAACCCACTAACAACTCAAAATTGGATAATATGTGCAGTTGTGAGGTCTGTTTCAACAATTCATGGCTGCTTTAGGAATAAAATACTAAAGTGGGTCCCTATAAAACCATATGCCCCCCAAGTAATAAGGAGTCATGGAAGCTTCATCGTTGTGCTCATATTGAAACTCAGTTCCCTGGAGATAAAAGTGACAACGATTATTTTTTACATTCCAACCATTGCTGTTGCTTTATTAATTTTCTAATGAGGTCACATCCTGCAGAAATTATATAGGGATTGTAAATTCCCAACATGATTTTTTTTTAAATGTAATGTATTTATTAATTTGGCATTGTGTGTTGAGCAAAGGAAGGACATTGGCACTTTTGGTGCCAAGAGGATGGTTGCATATATGGGTAAGGGGATTGGTGAGATTGGGGTTTGGAGATGGACCCTTGGGCTACTGTGTGGCAGGGCTAATCAGGTCTAAAATATTACCCATCATTTGGGTCTCCCTGGTTAAAAAGGGATCCTGTGGTTCCTGTGCTTATTTACACCAATAATATGACTATTTCTAAATTAACTAAATACAAATGCAATTTGTTATTTAGAAAATATGGTATTTTTTTATGGTTTTTTTTTAGTTGTTTTATTACAACAAATGACTTGTTATGTTGTAGTGCACTGCAGACTGTTCTGGTGTGTCTAGAGAACTAATTCCAAATTCAATACTCAAGGCATATAAATGTTCCATGTTATTCCAGTTTCCAAATTGGTGCATGACTGGGAAATGCCTGGTTCCTAGACTGCTGGTGAACCTGGAGGATTGGGTTGGGATTCACAGGCCAAGAGATTCTCATCTTTCCTGTGCTCTTCTCTTGAACGTAACTACTTAGTCCAGCATCACCACACTATATACACATTATCCTGATTATACACTTCCTGCTGAAATAACCAATGCAATGCCACTTTGTTGTGAAATAAAATAAAAAAACTATTTAAAAAAATTGATCCTCCCAGCAAAAATTGCTATGTGACAGAAATAAATATGTGGTTCTAACACAGGAAGCCTGTTTACACTACCTAGGTCAGCTACAAGTCAATATGATTGGCTGGGAAACATAGCCAATCATATTAACGTACAGCATGAACAATTAGATATTTATTTGTTCTTCTTATGTGTATAAGTTGCTTTTTAAAATGTAAAGTTTAACAATAAAGAATATAAAAATGTTTTCAATGCAATATGTTATGCATTCATGCATATTTATGTAGAGATCACTGCTTTTAAGAGTTACAGTAACAGATTCCGCTATAATATGATATTTTTTTTCTGTTTCACCATTCAGGCAACTTACATATCGCAGAGATGCATCTTCATTCCATTCCATTCTTTGTGCTACTTATCTCTAGTGTTTTTTGCTACTACACTGATTATGATTACGGAGGTGGATACGGTGCGCCAGAGGGAGATTATTATTCACACTTATCTTCAGGATCTCCAAACTGTGCACCAGAATGTAACTGTCCTGCAAATTATCCCTCTGCAATGTATTGCGATAACCTCAAATTAAAGAAAATTCCAATAGTTCCTGCTGGAATCCAATATTTGTACCTGCAGAATAACATGATCGAGGGCATTGAAGATGATGCGTTTAAGAATGTGACTGACTTGAGATGGCTAATTCTAGACCACAATCACCTCACCAATGCCAACATTAAAAAAAATGCCTTTTCCAATCTCAAGGAGCTACAAAAACTTTACATCAGCTTTAATAACCTAACTGAACTAGTCGGACCACTGCCAAAAACAATGGATGACCTGCGTGCGACCAACAATAAAATCGCCAAGATTACTCCAAACATTTTAGAAGGTCTGGAGAATCTGACTGTAGTCCACTTACAGAATAATGCACTGAAAGAAGATTCAATCTCAGATGCATTTAAAGGCCTCAAGTCCCTTGTATACTTAGATCTAAGTTATAACGAGCTGACAAAGTTACCAAAGGGACTTCCTCCAAGTGTATCTATGCTATATTTTGATTTTAACAAAGTCACCAATATCCCAGATGAATATTTCCAAGGTTTTAAAGCGCTGCAGTACCTTCGCCTGTCCAACAATGAGCTGGCCGATGCAGGTGTGCCTGGCAATGCTTTCAACGTTTCAACACTCCTTGAGCTGGATCTTTCTTTCAATAACCTTGGAAGTATCCCTGCTGTTAACGAAGGTCTTGAAAACTATTACCTGCATGTCAACAAAATTCAAAGTGAGTTTACGATGTGGCATTTGTTACTTGCCGATGAAGGTTCCTGTATGAACATTCATGTGACATATATATAGCAGAAAACTATTACAGTATATAGTCATACATTTTTCTGGACTAATGATACATATTAAAAAGACACGCTTTTTTAGAATCTCCTCTCAAGTATTGCTCTTACAATGCTAATATTGTTTCTGACTTGAGGAAGAAATCTCAAATGCTTGTTTGTAAATAAGAAAGTATCTCTGCATACTGAAATACCCCTATTGATACTCATATTTACCTGACAATTTAATTACTGGATTGACATGACTATTCCAATCCTCATACACACATACACTCACACACTCTTATACCTAACTGGAGAAAAAAAAGTAGTCTTTGGTAACATATTGTGAAATGTAGAACTTGCAATTTTACTACTAATTCTTCTGTCTAGTTCTATATTTACACTTTCAACTCAGCAAACTGCCCCATGAGTAGAGTGTTGGGTAAGGATATTTAAAATGCATTTTTTGCAAAGATCACTGTGATATATGTAACTTGTAAGGTCAGCAATGCAGCATTTTATAGTTTGTTATAGATAGCAGACTTGTACATGTGACTTGGTCCAAAATGTGATTCGGCTGAATTTGAGCTGATTGACCATTTAGCTGAATTCCACTTCTCCAAAGTTCCATATGGACGTATACCCGAGCAACCAACTAGTGCGATGGCTTAACATTCGGTATTTGGAGTTCTGCCCATAGCACCAAAGAACTTTATGAATGACATTGATTTTAATCACAGATCAAGTGAGATTAAAAACATGAGGAGCAGAAATTTTTTTTTAACCCTTTTGGTTTGTCTCAATGTTTCCCAGAATAATTTTTCATGGACAACATTTGGCCGAGCCAATCCGTCACAAGAAGAAGCATTGGACATAGCATGGGAACTTGGCAGTATATAATGAAAATATTGTTGGAACAGGTTTGGAGCAGCATTACTCTAAGGCCAGTTAAATCTAGAGCAGAAAGTCATGATCCCCAGTTATGGACCCATGATGCAGGATTGTGATGGCACACATGGTGCTTTGCATCGTAAGGCATGTAAAATGCATAGGACAAGCACTACAGATGTTTGTCATCTTAGTTGCATAGATTAGCTTCCATTTTCTACAGGACGGACACTTTTTGTTCCCTACTTTACAGTCAAAGAGAGAATAATTAACTATGTTGCATTCAAATTTATAATAATATACAATATTTAAATATACATATTTTATCTATAAATATTTGATCTATTTAAAAAAATTTAAGGTTCAATAAAATAACTGTAAAAATGTATGGAAAGTCTATATTTTAAAGAGACTTCACGACAATCTGTTAATTTCCTGAGTTTGCTCATAGGATGTCTCCAGTAATATCACAAAAATCAGTTCAGGTAAAGATACAGAATTGACTATCAGCACATCAGATGAATCTCTGAAATTCATACATAGCATATGTAATACAACCTTTTACTTGCCAAACATTCATGGCACAGGACCTGATGTGTATCTCCATTTGTCCTAACATCACGGCCTCTACAGCTAACATCCTACTTTTAAATGTTTTCTCATGAAAAGACAAATGCATTTCAATTTGGAAACATACTTTGGTTGGTGCTTTATTAAATAAGTACTATTTTCATTTTTTACCTTCTTTAAAGCTAGGTCTGTTGTTAGTTAGTATGAAACCATAAAGTTTGACATTTGTGAAACTATATAACTGAAGGTGAAATTCCATCTTTTAAAGCTTTGAGGCTGCAAGAGAATTGTGGGGGTTTTATTTCTGAAATAGCCGTGGATCTGCCTTTTGGCCACCCCAATTTAAAGCTTGCTTAAGGGTTGAAACACCTGCAACATCTGCTGAATGATAGCCATGAATGAACAGTCCTTTTCTATATTTAAATTTTGCATCAGTCTTTGTTGTGTTTTTTACTTTTTAAACGGCAAAGAGTATATGAGTGTAAGTTAAATTATTTTTATTCTCTCTATCACCTCATATAAATGTAATTACAGTTGTAATCAAAATTATTCAACACCCATTAAAAATCAGGTTTGTTGTCGAAATATACAGACTTTCAGCTGTTTGTATTGAACAAATTAAACAAAAGCAATTGAAATAGCTCAACTCAATGAATGGGTGTCCCCACATTCAACTGAAAATGCAACTTGTAATGACTTATCCAGTCTCAAAATGATTCAATCACTTCATGGCAAGCTTTTTTAGTACTTGGTAAAGCACCCTTTTGCTCTCATGACCTGTTGCAAATGAGTTGCATAGGCAGCGTTCCGGAGGAATCTTAGCCCATTGCTCATGAGCAATGGCCTCCAGTCCAGTAATATTCTTGGGTTTTTGTGCTGCAACTGCCTTCTTCAGATCCCACCAGACATTTTCCATGGAGTTCTGGTTAGTTGACTGTAATGGCCACTGCATAAGTTTCCAGGACTTCTTCTGCCACCAAAGTGAGGTATGCTTGGTATCATTGTCTTGGTGGAAGATACAATGACACCCAGGCTTCAGCTTTCTCACAGATAGCATGACATTTTGTCCTAGGATTTCTTGATACTTCAATGAGTCCATCTTGCCTTCCCCACGCTGCAGGTTTCCAATGCCAGAGGATGCAAAGCAGCTCCAGAGCATCACCGAGCCACCACCATGCTAAACTGTAGGCAGAGTGTTCTTTTCAGCATATGTTTCATTCTTCTTCTTCCAGACATACAGCTGATCCATTGGGCTAAAAAGTCACAGTTTTTGTTCCATTGCTCCACAGAACAGAATCCCAAAACTTTTGTGGATTATTTATATTATTTTGAGCAAATTGGAAGCAACATTTTGTGTGCTTTTTGGTCAGTAGTAGTGCATGAGTTCTGGCATAGAAACCTTCCGTGTTTAGTATGCGCCTTACTGTGCTCACTAAAACTTCAGTGCCGGTTGCCACCAAGTCTTGTTATGGGTCTTTTGCAGTCACTTGAGGGTTTTTCACAATCTGCCATTGATAGCTTCCATTTTCTGCCCCATCAAGGAAGTGTAACTACTGTTTCTTCAACTTTGAACTTGCAACCTATGCTTTCAACTGTGTCTCTATGAACATTCAGTGACTTCACTATTTTTTTGTAGCCTGTTCCTTGTTTGTGAAGGGCGATTATCTCTTCTCTTAACTTTGTGGACCATTGTTTTGACTTAGCCATATTTCTAACATGCAGTCAGCAGTGACACTAGCCAGTTCATGTATTTTCAGTGTTCCAGCTCAAAACCTAGTACAACTAATTGGTTGTTTTGAGGCTGGAAGTGCACCCATAAGAACCACAAAAGGCATAGCTACTGTTGAGGGGAACCAAGAGCTAATTATTAGAACAACTTGTATCGTACTTAGCTGATCCCCCTTCCCTGGGGCACTTTTTTTTCACAAGCAAGGGAAGGTTGCAGGATTTTTACTTGCTTTTTCAAATTTTTGTTGAGATCGCAGTGAGAGTTTTGCTTACAATATCATTTGATCCTTGAGATTCCTGATTCAATGGATCTTTTTAGAAAAGCATGTGGTTTAAAGTAAAAAAAATATATCAATGACTCAGTTTTAGAAATAGATGTTAAGAAGGACACAAACTAGTAGAGTACAAGTAGTCGGAGTGAAATAAGAGGGGCTCAGAAACTGATATAGACATGGTTTTAATCCTTCCAATCTGTCTTTAGATATCATAAGCAAAAGCACACAAATCTTTGCCATACAGAGATTTTAAAAATTATTCCCGATAAAGTTTAGTAATTATTTTTCCCAAAACAACGATTGTAGAAAAAGAAAAATTATTCTTTTTATGAAAAAAAAAGTAAAAACTTAATGAATTTTAATAGCAATTGTAACAGGAAAAATATATTTCTTAAAATGTTAATTACAATTAATAAAAAAAGGTTAACATTTTGCGTGCCCTATCGAGAGCCACATAAAAACTTTGTGTATAATTCTTGTTTTCCGTGGAGTCCCTAGCATAATACCAATTAATTTTATAATTTTACCTCTAACAAATGGATAATATATACACCAAGAAAGGGTATCACTTTAACAAAACTGTTATTACAGGAAACATAAAAGAATACTTTTATTGCATTCATGGTAAGAGTTAAAATGTAGTTGTTTTCCATTGAAAATCTAAAAACTTTTTTATTTTATTGTGTTTTCTATATAGCTTTTGCATTCTCAATGACAAAATTGTACCTTTCTTACAATATATTTTTTTTCCTTTAGGCATATATTTTATCCTTTAAATGATTAGCTTAAGGTTAAGTATTAAGTTTTATTCTATACATTAACCAACATTTTTTCTATGTGTTTTTCAGAGTTTACCCTGAACAGCTTTTGTAAGGTTATTGGACCACTGGAGTATTCTCGCATCAGACACCTGCGTTTGGATGGAAATAACATCACTAGGGCTGATCTTCCTCAGGATCTGCACAACTGCCTTCGTGTAGCAAATGATATAGAGTTATAAGTGGTTATACTGTTTAAAAAGTGGTCCCCAAGCTGATGGTTTTGTCTTTCTTTCAGGTTACAGAAACATAAACTAAAATATATATTAAAAAAATAATAGCATACAGAAAACCTAATTTGGAAGTCTATTTATTAAAACAAATTCATTGCTCATTTAAAAAATACCATCACCAAATTTTAGCAAGTAAAAGTAAAATATAGATTTCTAGAAATGAGTAATACTTTTAGCAGTTCTTGCTGAGAGTCTGTGTGATGTGTTTCTAGACCCAAATCCCAAAACCCAAAGCATTGGCTACCTTACAAATTTGTCAACCATTCTAGTGAAACTTCATGATAGGTCCATGGAGGTAGATTACCTACATCTCTTAGAATATATATGTGGCCACAATCCGACCATGCAAATATCAGGAAGTAACTTTTACTCCAATGCTGACCCTCTCCACTCTGTAAAGAAAGTAATATAACGCATCTCATCTGTGAAATTATTGGATGACTGAGAAATATGTATCAGAATGTTGTGATTAGAAAGGTAGTCCAAAATTCTTACAATTAAACCTGCAGGGTACTTTGCCCTGGTGATTTTACAATATCATATCAATTTTCTAATCATGACACTTTGATTATTATCACCTTTATCACCTTTTGTCTCAAACTAATAATTCATTTAAATCAGGTGATTTGGTTTTTCTTCAAAGACCACAGCAAGTCCCTCAGGAATTCTTAAATCACAAAATAATTCAGGCAACATGGGCTATTCATTGTAAACAGGCAGATTTATTGATGCAGACTCATTAACAAAAGCAACGTTTTGATCAGAAAACCTTCATCTGGCATCCAAGTCCGATGAACGTCTTCAAATTGATGCTCTGCTTGTTGTTATTTCTCAATAACGAATAGGCCATGTCGCTAAAGTTCTTTGATGACTTATTCACACGGATAATTAAGTCTTCTTTAAGTCAAGATGAGACAGTATGTTTTCAGTGTAGTTTTTGCTTTTATTTTATTTCATTAAGATAGATTGAAATATAGCTAAATACTGAATTCATAGTTCTTCCCAATAATTAAACATTAGAATTGGTATCATGTGTTATATCATTTTATATTAATTTGCCATTGTTGCTAAACACATATATCATGTCCAGCTCCAATTAACTATAATTGATGAGTTTTGAATCAATATGAGAGAATGTTTAATACAATCTATCAGTTTAAACTTGTAGCAGCTGGAAATAGAACATGTTAGGGTATCAACAGGACCATTGGCTAAGCAATAAAAAGCCTTATTTACAGTAGAAATGATTTTAATTAAGGCCAATTAATCTCTGATGTTTTTGTGTTGTAATTTGAAAAATGAATCCTGAATGAAAGCAGACTGGGCACCACTGACCTAAAATAATCATTGTGTTTGTTATGTAACAATATATCCTTATTTGGATACAGGGGTGTGATAACTAAGAATTATGTATGTAATTTAGCTTGACTATGGTGGCTGATGTAAAATAGTTTTCCTCTAAAACATCCTGTGGTTATTTTGAGCAATAGCAAAATCAAGGTCAAAAACATGAAATATTAAAAAAAAAAGTAATTTTTTTATATACTATTAGTAGTTTTGACAATTTAGAAATAATATACTGATACAAATCATTTATTCAGTTTATTAATGTCGTGTGTGAGCATTCAAGAGAAGAGCAAAATTCAAAATAATCAAATTTTATGTTATTTTGTCACCAAGACAAAGTTTATATATTTTCTTGTTGTGGTTGTAAAATACTTTAGGCATGGTCCCAGAACTATGGATTATGGTAAAGATCTGGCAAACGTTTAGTGTTATCAACTAATGGATCTATTTTCTAAATGGTGAAGTGTGGTTAATTGAATTTCCAATTACTATAATAAGCCAAAACAATGAATTTGGGGATATAACAATCTAAACAACTCTTTCCAACTATCTTGACATTGTAAATTCAGTTTTAAATCAACACTATCCACTAAATAAGTTAACACTGATAACAAAATTCGAACAAAAAAATAATAACAATTTTTTATGTTTATTGTAAAGAGCCTTTTATTTAAAAAAAGGAATTGCAAGATAGCAAAATAGACAAATGCATTAATTTAAAAAAAAAAGTATACTTTTCAATGTTAGAAATTGGTCTGGTACCTCTGAAATAAAAGAAAAATAATAAAAGTAACGCTTATGATGTAAAAACTAACAGGTTTGTCTAGTATACTCTAAAGAGCCTTTTTGCAATATATTATGGACTTTGGGGCTTGTTGATTAAACCCCTTTTTGGCCTTTAAATTACCAGAATATTCTCCATTTGTTTTCTTTTCACGAAAGCCATATATTTTCTGTTTTTCTTTAGTTATTTGCATGCTTTAAGATCATAATAAACAATTTGCATGGTTATGCTTCTGTCAATACCATTCAAATCTTTACAACATTTTTATTTTTTGTTAAATTTGTTAACACATACTTCACACTATTTATTATGCATGCGTTTACTTTTGTCCTTTTTTTTACATACCATTTTCATTCATTATTAAAAAAAATGGGTTTATAGCATATTTAAAGAACAATAGTTCAGTTTAACAAGCGTTATTTTCTGTCACAGATTATCTCTCAGATTTTTAAAACAATTAATTTAAATGCAATTTATATTGATCTCGCTTAGAATTTTAAAAATAAGTGCTAATAAGGCACAAGAATAACACATATGGGTAGATATCAAGATAGATAGAAAGAAGGAAAGAAAGAAAGATAGATTTTTTTTAACTTAATTCCTAATTACTAAATATATTGCCTTTTGTTCTCAAGCAGCTTTTAACTCACCAGAGACTTTCCAGAGGGAAACAGTGCCATTTTCACATCCGACTGACCCCACCTGTTAGTGAAATTCACAACCAAAATACCAGGCTTGTCTCCTCTGCATAGGAGATACTTGAGATACTCCCAATTATTTTTTAATTCTTCTTTAAGAATTCATCAGTGGCTTATGCCATTCTATTTCTAAAAAGAAAAAAAAGGAAAACAAAGCGAGTAAATAATGCAAACAAGTTGTAATAAAACAATCTCAAGTACATAAAAAAGAAGAAGAAAAAGAAAAGAATAGTGCAGATTGATATATTGACAGAGTATCTATAAAGTCAGGTCACTCACATATTGCGGTTCCTATATATATTGACTCCTTAAGTAGAACTTGTATGCTCTTAGGGCAGCATCACATCACTTCTTCACTTTGATGTTCCCTCCAGCAAAGACAAAAAATAAGAGAGGCATCCAATGTGTTGCTTAAAATACCATTAAAACATGGAATAAGTATTAAGCTCACCTTATACAGAGCCTTTTATCCTGACTCTGAAGGTAACAGGTGTAGTGCCAATATTGAGGGGATGGTACCTCCCCAATGAAGATTCCTGAGGCTTCAGAGGACTTTTAAAAGTACTACTAAATTTATTTTACAAAAAAAGATAAACCATAAAATAAGTAAATACAATACAAACTTGTACAAAAAAATAAGTTCACAATCAGCAAAAATGTGTTTCCCTCCTTTCTGAGCTTCTTCAGTCAACTGTCTAGACACAGTTTGGATGATTTTGGACTTCTCTTTTTTTTGTACAAGTGTGTAGAGTATAGAATAATAAGTGGGATATTTACAGACTCCCACAAGATATTGGGAGACCTGATTGTAATACTAAGAGGTTATGAATGGGGTTCTTAAGTGGTTAAATAAACAATTACACTACAAAACATGTCAGAAACTGCTGGCAACATGATTGCAAAAAGTGTTATGAGGAGAAATTCCCCATGTAAAATAACCTGGGGCACATTCTTTGGGGTGATTTTAAATGATAGGTGGTTAAGTCACCTATGAATTAAATTGGGTCTCATTGTACACATATAAAGATAGTGCGTAAGGGGTGCCTCTGAGTGAAAAATGCAGGAAAATATTGACAAAATCTTTTGCAGAAGATGGTGGTAAAAATGCATCAGTATATTTGTCCAAATACCACATGCAGACAATCGGGAGTTGTCTAACATTTGAAAATGTATATGTATATGTATATTAAAATATATACTTGTGTGGTTTGGTTTTCATTTTATGAACGCTAATAAAATTGCAAGTGTTTAAAACAAAATTTGAAAAGCTTTAGGTTTGAAACAGTGATGTGCTCCTATTAATATGTGATCTGTAACTGTAAAAAAAAATTAAGAAAATACAAGACACTAGAGTTATTCCCAAAAGCTAGACATACAAACTCATATATTTTAGGATATTGTGATACAAATAATGACATTCTTCTTTTGGCTTGATATCTCCTACAATCCTGGTAATTTCAGGGAGTTAAGATCTTTAAGAAACTGTAAAATTGATTTGGACTGACTCCCTGTATGTGTATTTGCGTGTCTCTGCATGTTTGTGTTGGCATCATGCATAATAACTGTCATATCAGGAGGCATGTATATTAACCACCGGAGTATTGGTAAAAATACATAAACGGCAATATCAATAGGTGAATAGTGAGCTTAACATTTCTTGCATGTAAAAGATCCTGAGAGCAAGGAAGTAATAAATCCGACTGTAAGGCTGACAATCCTTTTCACATGAGTTTCTTCTGAATTAGATATGCTCACAATCTGAAAGAGGTGAGTGAATACCTACATACTTTGTGGCCCCTGAATGTGAACTCCTAAACTATTCTGAAGATGTCACCGGCAGCCTGCCTTCCATGTCATCATGACCATGACTTGACAGATGCCGCTACAAAAGTAACTTAAATATTTTCAATGTTCATCCTCTCCTTTACGTTAAAGTATATTTTACACAAATCTCTACATAATATTTTCCCACTTGTTATTATCGCCTATTATATAGCGCCAACAGATTCCGTAGCGCTTTACAAAATTATTAGAGGGGGGATTTAACTATAACTTAAAACCAGGAGATTAGCTCTATATTGATGAAGATGTGAAACTTCCAAATTTGAAACGCTTCTTTTTGATATCCAGACTGTGAAAATATAGCAGTCTATTACTAAGGGAATACAAAGACTCCGTGTGCTGAAATAAAAAGACACATTCTGTGCTAACATGTAGATTGTAAAAGGGCATTCTGGCAGTGCAGTAAAAATAATAGTCTTGGTTTCTATGCTTAAAGTGATTTATTTTCTCTTTGTAGACAATTTGCTCACTTCATGTTAAACACATACCACACTTCAAAAAATGAGGACTTAACACAAAAAATGTTTATAGAAAGAAAGCAAGGCAGATAAAATGGGTTGCAAAAGCATGATGAACACAAATTAAACACAGATAGAAAGAATGGAAAGTTACTGATTTCTAATCAAAATTAAGACACATCTGGCACATTTTTTGTTTAACCAGCAGGAAGCAACATGGTGGACAAATGGAAACTAACAAAATGGATTCTGAGCCATGTCTGGTTAAACAAAGTATCATAAAACCTTCTCTGTTTGAATGCAGTAGCTGTGATATCTTCCTGAGAGCCAGCCCATTAACTTGTGTCTTCTGTACTGGACATTTCATTCACATGCATCTCCTTTTATTCTTTTGAGCTACTCTGTCATTTCCTGCTGTATTGTAAAGAGGACATCCTGGGCTTTCCAGTGATGTCATGTGATGAGGCTGGGATGCTGGAACCTTCCTCTTCCTTCTCATCAAAAATGGATGGCATATTGGAAGACAATTTTTTCCTCGTTTTTCAGGAGGATATATCAGTATAGAGGATTGTGAGCAGGAGACAAAACCAATGTTGTCAAGTTGTCCTATGAAATACCTATAGTATTTTATCTGACACCTTGACAAAATTCGTTTTGGAGTTTGTTTAACTTGTTAATTTTGGGGTAACCCAAAATTTCCCTGAAGGTTATAGATGTCTTGGTGTTTGCTACCTACAACAGGGAGTGTGTGGCTCCATGTAAATGACTCCCTATGTTTCTTTTCTTTCTGATTTAATAGAGGGCAGTAACATTTCTCCCTTAAAAGCAGTTGATTTTTTTGGTAGGATATAATCTATTTGGGTGGAGCATGAGAAGGCATTTTATCACATCTCTCTTAAAAGTAATTAGGATTCAAATGTTACTGTTTTGCATCAGCATGTCTCAAAGAGTGGGATTTTCATAAGAGTTCCCAGCTTGATATGCAAATGAGCACAAACAGGCATCACCCTGATGAGACCCACATGGTCAAACGTGTACAGTTTTGATTTCTGGTCCTTTTGAATATTTCCTTTATAAATCTGTGCCTGAAACAGTGCTCCATTGCTAAGCTTGCCAGCAGAAATGCATTATTATTATTATCTCCAATGTCCTACAGAAAATATGTAAATGATGAAGAAAAACAAATTTCGAATTTGCATAAATCAGCAGTGAATGATGTATATATATATTTTTTTAACTACAGCTTTCAACAAGAGTGCATTTTCTGTGTGGTGCAGTTCCTATTAGGAAAAAAAGTCTCAAACATTTTCAGCTATTATTTATCTAGTTATTAATCATATCAAAACCCAGCTTAGTTAGGACTATTTATCGTAATTCCGTAATTTATAGTTCAGAAATGTATTATACAACAAGCTGTAGTAAATTAAGAGTAAATTTGCATTTAGTGACCAAAATAACGCAGTCGGCAACTATATCTAATGAGATTACCCATATTACCTGTTGTCTAACTTGTGAAAATAAGTCATAAACATATTGCAAATAAGTGCTCAATAATATACTATTTATATCTACATATATAGTAACCCTTTGGAGAACTTGCATTGTGTATAGCTAGTACCAAAAGGTGGCAGTATCACTCATGCTTGTTGATGGATCTTTTTACATTTTAAGCATAAGTATATTATTTATAAGAATCATTACACTTGGTTCTACTCTAATAGCCATCATTAGGCTTTCAGCCCTATCTTTGTGCATTATATCAAATACCAATTGGAGAGTGTGTTTATTGAGTATATTGGGAAATCTCACTGATCATTTAACAAGAAAATTCAAAATATTAACAACAGAGCTTTAAAATGTCTTTACAATTTAAAATATCAAAATTTACTAGAGCTAGTTGACACAACTCCTTATTTTGGCTTTTTTTTGACAATTGTGAGCACCCTAACAAACTTAATTCTGTTTCAAGCTCAAAGGGACAATGTACTTACCAAAACAAGTTTTTCTTAATGAAGCAGCGTATAGATCATTCCCCTGCAGTCTCACTTCTCAATTACTGTATCTGCCATTTAGGAGTTAAATTACTTAGTTTATGCAGCACCAGTCACTCCTCCCTGCATGTGACTTACACAGCCTTCCTAAACACTTCATGTAAAGAGTAATCTAATGTTTACATTTCCTCTATTGCAAATTTTGTTTAATCTAGAATTTCTTATCTAATGCTCTGTTAATAGCATTTTAGTCCATGCAGGAGCCTCCTGTATATGATTAAAGTTCATATTATAAAGCAGGGGATTTAAGCGATAGAATAGTAAGCATGTCAGCAGGCAGTCGATAGACAGCAGTAGTGAAATCAGGCAACTTGAACTGACTATGCATTGTTGTAAAAGTATAGGTTTAGTAGATAATATAACACATTTTTACGAGTAAGATTAAATGCTTTGGTACAGATGTCTAACAAGATTTTTTAACACCCCAATAGGCTCTACAAAGAAAAGTAACAGTCCAGAGCATGGTAGGACTTTGGGTTTATGTTATCATAAGATAAAATAAGAGTGCTCTCAAGGAAAGTGGGGCGAGACAGGCTCATAACTGGGAGCATTAGCAATCAACCAAACCATAGCTCTATCAAGGTTCAGCCTGGGTATTGGGGACTGGGCTTTCAGCCTACACCTACTTTTGGCAGGACACAGACCCTCATCATTGCGCAGTCCAGGAAGTGTGGCAACATGGGTGGTGTTGTTGCAGTGATTCGGTGGTAGTGAAGATTCCCTGTCACCTGCTGCATTCTTCTTGCAGCTTCAGCATTTTGTTGGGTCTCCAGACCTGCCTTGTTTGTGCTCCACTGGTACCCCGCTCTCCGCGAGGTCTGCCGATGCATTTCCCGCATTCGTTGGCTTGCTCTGCGGGTGGCTGGAGGTTTGCACTGGTTCTGGTGCCGTCGGCGGTCAGTCTCAGTTGGGTGAGCTTGTGTTGGTTGTGGAACAAGCATTTGTTGCCTGAGTCTTAGCCTCCTCCAGAAATTTTCAAATATTTTGTCCAGTTTGAATACAGCTCTAGACACTGTGAGTTTGTGCTGAAGGGGCCTTGTGGCCTTCGCCATTTTGAGTGTACCACCCGTGATGGTGTTGTTGAGTGTGGCTTACTGCACTTTCCCGATAGACTTGGGTCACAGTCAGGATGTGGACCAGTATCTCTCCCGCCGGTCCATAGATGGAGATGACGGGGCATCAGGTCTGTGATGCTGTAAGTCAGCATACGTTGGGTGGGAGATTGGCCGCCTCTCCCCTCCACATCGCTCACTAAGCCGTGTTCGCAGGCTGTAGAAGTTCTTAGCCGGGATACCGCTGATGACCGCTGGAAGCATCCCCGAGCCGGTCAATTGGTGCAGGAAGCCAGGTAGGATCAGGCAGATCAGTGTAGTAGGCAGAAATCATAGGCGACTGGACATAATTGTACTATTCATTAGGAGTGTTCACAGAACACGTCTAGTTGCCATTGCAGTCAGGCCCAGCCCCCAAGCACAGGATTTTTGTGACAGGGTAGGTTCAGTAATAAATTCAAACAAATGGTAAGCCACGCTTAGTAATTAAAATGGATTATACATACAATCAATGGAGGAGGATAATTATGAAACGTATCTTTAACAAAGAAATGTACAATAGTATAATACTGTAAAAAATGCAGTAGATATAAAGACAGTGCCAATAGAACACTCACACTTTCCAGAGCTTCAATTAGCTCTAATATTGCACACCACGATGGAACAATCCCCATCCAAGGATATGATGTCAGGTATCTTGAGCAGCAGTTAGTAATATATGTGGAGGGAAGCACAGATTGGTGTAGTCCAATTATAAAATTATTATTATTATATTATTTATACAGCGCCAACAAATTCTGCAGCGCTTTACAGTGGGTGGACGAAAAAACATGTAGTTGTAAACAGATAAGTTGGACACACAGGAACAGAGGAGTTGAGGGCCCTGCTCAATGAACTTACATGCTAGAGGTAGTGTGGTAAAGTGACACAAAAAGCAAGGATAGTATTAGACTAATGACAGTTGCAAGAGAGGAATCGGTCAGGAGTTTAATTGATACGCTATTATGAAGAAGTGGGTTTTTAATGATTTTTTGAAGGAGTGGAGATTGGATGAGCATCTAACTGAGGAGGGATGTGAGTTCCACAGAAATGGTGCAGCCCCCGAGGACTCTTGAAGGCGAGCATCAGAGGTAGGAGTACGGACAGAATATAGACGTAAATCTTTAGCAGAGTGTAAGGGTCTAGACGGGACATACTTGTGTATTAGGGAGGATAGATAGGTGGGAGCAGCATTATGTAGAGATTTGAAAGAAAGAATCAGAATTTTAAATTGAGCCCTATATCTTACAGGAAGCCAATGTAGGGACTGACAGAAGGGTGAGGCGTGGGAGGTGCAGGCGGACAGGAAGATGAGCCTCTCCGCTGCATTCATTATGGACAGTAACGGTGCAAGTTGAGAGCACGTAAGACCACTGAGAAGCGGATTACAGCAGTCAAGGTGACAAAGGACAGTGGAAAGGACCAGCACCTTAGTCGCATCTGGCGTTAAGTAGGGTCGGATGCACGCAATGTTTTTGAGATGAAAGAGGCAGGATTTGGCGATAGACTGAACATGAGGTGTGAAGGAGAGGTTGGAGTTAAAGAGAACACCTAGGCAGTAAGCCTGCATGGTGGAGCTGATGGGAGCTCCTTCAAGTGTTGCTACTCCTGTGTTTTTCTCCCTCCAAGTCAACGTTGCGTTGACTTGGAGGGAGACAAACACAGGAGTAGCAACACTTGAGGGAGGAAAGACCAGAATTTCAATTTTGGTCAAGTTGAGTTTAAGGAAGTGGGCAGCCATCCAGTTAGAAATAGCAGAGAGGCAGGCAGAGATATTAGTCAAG